CACAGCTCACAGCAACCTCCAACTCCTGGGCTCAAGCGAGTCTCCTGCCTCAGCCTCCCAAGTAGCTGGGACCACAGGTGCCCGCCACAACACCTAGCTATTTTTTGGTTGCAGCTGTCGTTGTTTGGTAGGCCTGGGCTGGATTCAAACCCGCCACCTTAGGTGTATGTGGCTGGCGCCTTATACACTTGAGCCACAGGCGCCGAGCCTGATTGTTTTTAATGCTTGGTTTTTTAATCCACCAGGACTTTATTTTCGTATATGGCATGATGGCAGCTCTTTGGAAAATGCTCTTTCTATTGGACATTTTGAGATACCCTTTTCCCCCCAGCTTTCTGGTGTCTTGTCTCTGGAGGTTCTACAGTCTCCACCAACAGGGTGAATGTCTCTCCCTCTGCCCTTACTTTTATCAGTCACCAGCATTTCATTTACTCACCACCAAGGCCAGATACTTGGACCTTACCTGAGATACCTCTTCTTCCCCAACCCTCCTAGACCATCTTAGGGCTCTTTATCCTAAAGGTCTTTGGGCTTTCTCCACTTTCCACCTCTGTTTCCCCCTTAGTTTAGGCCTTATCTTTTTTCTCTGGTCTTGGCTCCTTCTAATGCATCTTCTAATTTTACAGCCAGAGTGAGCTGGAAAGAGACAGGCACAAAACTCAACACTCTGGTTATGACCGGTCCCTGCTTCTGCATTTTCTGTGACTTCCCCATGGCCCTTTGGCTAGGTTCCTGCTCTGAGTCGGCCCACCCAACCTCACTAAACTTCTGAGGTCTTAATTTAGAGACCACTTCCTCTGGGAACCCCTCTGACCCTTTCCAGCTGTCAAGAGCCCCTGCCCTGGGTATTAGAGTCCCTGTACCAAATTCTAGCGAGCCTGTGAGCTTTTTGAGGAAAAGAATCAAATCAAACTGTATCTGTGTACCACTGTACCCCAGCGCCTGGAACCAGAGCACAGACAACCTCCACAGAATTCCTTGCTTCCCACTCAGGAATGAGTGAAGCAAAGAATGCGGTTGGGACTCTGGGCAGTGGGGCGACACAGACTAGCAGCTGCTATCTCCTGGTGGTTCTGAGGAGGGTATGAAGGCCAGAGAGAGAAAGAGACCCCAGAAGGGGGCATTGATAATCCTCATCACCCCTACCCTGTTTTCAGGGCAGACTGCGCTGAACATCGCCATTGAGCGGCGGCAGGGGGACATCACTGCGGTGCTCATCGCTGCTGGCGCCGATGTCAACGCCCATGCCAAGGGGGTCTTCTTCAATCCCAAGTATCAGCACGAAGGCTTCTACTTTGGTGGGTGCCACCCCGCAATCTGTCCTGCAGGCTGGGAACATAGTATGTGAAAAGAGAGATGGGGTGGGAGGGGGAGCAAAAAGTAAGGAGAGGGAGGGGCTGTCCACCTGGCATGATCCCTTCCTTAAGAGGCCCCAGGGTCTGGGGAGGACAGAGCAGAGACCAGGTAGAAGGCTGCAGGAGATCCATCTGAACAGGACACCAGGGCTGACCAGAGAGGGAGGGAAGGGGTGGGCAGCCCTGGTGTCCTGCTCAGATGGATGGTGTCTCCTGGTGGTCTGAACAGTCCTCTCTAGGGACCTGAGATGGAGGCCAAGGAGAAGCCTTTATTTTATTGGTGTGGAGATGGTTCTGAGAAGGGAAGTGCCTTGCCTGCATGTAGAAAGGCATTGACATAGGTGTCCTAGCTTTGGACTCTGGCTTCTGTCCCCTATGCCTAGTACATCTCAAACAGGATGTCAAAAGTGAGATGATGAAAATTCCCTGCCTGATGAGTTAGGGAGTCTAACAGTAATGGGGTTAGGATGCTATAGGGGTAAAAATTTGAAATGTATAATTTAGATGTAGTGGAATTCACCCATTTTAGTGTATGGTTCTGTTCATTTTCACAAATGCATGCATACCTGTAACCACCACTATGACGGGAATGGGGAACAAACAGCTCCATCACACCCCAGAATTTCTCCTGAAACCCGAGCCCCTGCCTGACAACCACTGCTGTGTTTTTTCCTTCCGGGGGTGGTGTTTGAATGGGCAGGACAAGATGGGTCTGGGCATCCATGAGAACAGGGTCCTGTCCAGTTCATTTTGCGTCTGCACTGCCCAGGGTAGGACCTGGAGACTGCTGGACCCAGTGCTGGGAAACATTTGGTGGGTGGGGTGAAGAGAGGGAAGCAGTTCCTCGTGACCATTTGCCTTCTTTTTTCTTAATAAACTTTTGTTAAGCACTTCCTGTCTGCATCAGGCTCTGGTCTGGTGCTTGAAATATATCAGTGAATGAAGGAAAGATCCCTGCTCTTGTGGAACTTACATTCTAGACAGAGACCATTATAAACAAGAATTTAATACACTACGTTGGAAGGGTAAATGCTTTTTAGAAAATACAAAGTAAAGCAGGGTAAGGGTAGTCAGAAGTTTTATCTGGGGCAGAAGGAAGGTGGGTTTGGATTTTAAATAAGGATGGTTAGGGTGACCCTTTGAAAAGGTAATGTTTGAGCAAAGACTTGAAGGAGGGGGAAGTGAGCACAGCAGGTGTCTTTAGAGAGAGCAACCTGTGCAGAGGCCCCAAGGGAGGAAAATGAACAGTGTGTTTGAGGAAGAGGGAGGAGGCCATTGTGGCTGGAATGGGGAAGAGGGGAGGTCAGAATATGTAGGGCTTTGTGAGCTGTTGTTGAAATTGAGCTTCCATTCTGGGTGAGGTGGGACTTACATGCCAACAGGGGTGGTCTGGCTGTCAGGCTGAGCCCCATGAACTGGGAGGTCAGGGGCAAAGCAGGGAGACAGGAGGTTACTGCAGAGATCTAGCTTTTGTCTTTCCCCGCATACAAGGAGGGGATGGGGAGAAGGCCAGGGAACCTCAGGGGCCCATCTTCCTCAGATGGTCAGGGTATAGGCTTGGGGTATAGGATATAGTTCTGGGGCTCGGGGGACACTGCTTCTGACCTGTGAGAGAACTGAGCCCCAGTGCTCCCCTTCCTCCAGGTGAGACCCCCCTAGCCCTGGCAGCGTGCACCAACCAGCCTGAGATTGTGCAGCTGCTGATGGAGTACGAGCAGACTAACATCGCCTCGCAGGACTCACGGGGAAACAATATCCTACATGCACTGGTGACAGTGGCCGAGGACTTCAAGACGCAAAATGACTTTGTTAAGCGCATGTATGACATGATTCTGCTGAGAAGTGGCAACTGGGAATTGGAGACCGTGCGTAACAACGATGGCCTCACACCGCTGCAGCTGGCCGCCAAGATGGGCAAGGCTGAGGTGGGTGGTCAGGGTGGCCTTGGGGGTCCCTTCTTGGGATCCACAGATCACAGCCTCAGCCCTGGGACGGTCCCAGCCTTAGGTCTGGAAGTGCAGATGTGCATGGAGGGTTTGTTCCGAGTGACAGCGCAGCAGTGAGATGAAGCACATATGCACCCTCTGGACTGCATTCTCAACACCCCATGTTTCCATGTCTTGTCCCAGGACCCCTTCACTGGAGCTAGGTTGGGGACCCTAAAGGCTGAGGTGACACAGAACCTCACATGCTCTGTGGCTGAGAGTTCCTGCATGGTAGGCCCCTGAGCAGGGGCTGAGTGTGTGTCCCTGGGGTCTACTAGTCTCTCAGAGGATGGGAGTTCCAGGTGGCTGCTCTGGGTCCAGAGCCAGTGGGCTATTGTTCCCTGATTATGAGGAGACACCAGTTTGTTTATCAGGCTGAAACTCTGTGTCATGTCCCCAGGAGAAAGCATGACTGTCAAGGGTCCTTTGTCCCTGGCCAAGGAACTCAATAGCTGTTGGTGGAGACTCTAGCAGGCCTGGGCTCTGATCTCTGTCAGTGGCTGGGGTCATGGTTTGGCCTGAGAGGTTCTTCTCAGAGGACAGATTCTGGAGTATGACCTGTTCCTCAGCCTCACTGTCTCTGAGCCCTGGGAGGCTGCAGAAAGATGTTAAAGGGAGGGGCTGTTGGGCAGTCACAGCTGTGCCAGCCTCAGGGCACCCACCTCCCAGTCAGCTGCCCTGAGGGCCTTCGTCCTGTCCTAGCGGTCAGGGTTGGAAGCCACAAGGGACCTTTTTATTCTCTTGTGGGGGAAGGAAGAGATGGAGAATGGCTTCAACAGAGGAGCAATTGTGTGCCTGCCCCCACTTATCCCCAGGGCTGCAGCTTGCTGGGGCTCTGGGTGAGAGTCACATTGTGGTTGCAGGTCAAACTTCCTCCAAGGGCCTCTTCCCTGGGTGCCACTGTGGCACATGCTCTCCCTGCCCACCATCTGAAGGAGGGGCTTCCTACCTCAGAGCATGGCCCCAGGATCCCTGTATTCTCTGGAGGATAATGTGCCTGCAGTGGCCAGTCTAGGGAGGCACCTGTACCCTCCTGGCTCTTTCTTTACTTTGTTTTTGCACACCTTTTCTGGATGCTTTTTAGGTTGTCCACTATGTGGGGAGTGGTGGGTACCACTATGCATGTGACATAGACCCTGGCCAGGGGACTTTCATAGGCTGGGGGACAGGATGGGGAGATGTGGCCCTGTTCCTAGGATTTCTCTGCCTGGACTCTCATGAAAGATGGGATGGGAACCCACTGTCTTGTGAAACCAGGCCTCTGACACTGACTACCCCAGCAGATACCTCCTTTTGGGTCTTGGGTTAGTGCCCTAGGAAGCCCTGGCCCCTATCCTGGGGTGAGCTAGGGCTCAGTTTTTAGGAAATGGTCAGTGAGAAAGCAGTGGGTTTGCATCCAGCCTGCACTTCGGGACCACCTGGGAAACTTTACCAAATATAGCCTCTTGGATCTCACCCCAGAGACTTAAATTTCATTAGTTGGTAGTGTGGGATTTTTACAGATTCCCCAGGGACCCTACCATGCAGCAGAGTTTGAGGATTGCTGACCTACAAAAGTCCCATGTGCGTCCCAGCAAGGGCTGGTGTCTTGCGTCACACATGTCTGGCCAGACTGGTAAGCCTTGGCTGGAGGTGCCCTTGTGTGAAGGTGGGAAGGGGAAGCTGGAAAAATGTCTTGCTTCTTCTCAAGTGCAAGCCAAATGGAAATTGTTTCTAAAAATTGTCAGTTCCTGGAGCCTCTGCTGAAGCGGGTTCCCAGCTGGTGTGAGAATTTCCCAGCTGGCTGTGCAGCTTCCTGAAGTGTCTGCAGGTGTGCAGGGACTTTGCACTGTCTCTGGTGTTCACAACCCCCAGTGAGATGGGTGGGACAGCAAGCTTTGTGCCCATTCTACAGATAAAGCTGGTGCTGGGGTTCATGGCTTTAGGCTCAGAGGCGGGCCTTCAACCATCCCTGGTGGGAGCATCTGGCCCAGCCCTGTTTGGGTCCCAAGCCCTGTCCTAAGGCTGATGGTTGTTCCTTGTCATGTCCTCAGATCCTGAAGTACATCCTCAGCCGTGAGATCAAGGAGAAGCCACTCCGGAGCTTGTCTAGGAAGTTCACCGACTGGGCATATGGGCCTGTGTCATCCTCACTCTATGACCTCACCAATGTGGACACTACGACAGACAACTCGGTGCTGGAAATCATTGTTTACAACACCAACATTGATGTAGGTCTCCGGGTGGGCTGGAAAGGTCAGGGAGTGGAGGGCTGGACCTCAGGTGGGAACTCAAAGGGCACAGGGAAGGCCCCATCACTAACCACAAGCCCCTGCATCTCCTGTTCTTTGTGCCCAGCTCTGCCCATTGAGGCAGAGGGGATGGGGCCTGGAGATGGGCCCAGCTGCTTCTGTCATTGTGATCCTAGTGGTAGGGTGTCTCCTGCCCCAGAATCCTGGGCAGTTTGGGTGAGGTGGGTGAGGGGGTAGTTGGTGTTGAACTTCCCCATCATGTCTCTCTTCTACTTCCCCTGCTGGTGTATATGGCCAGGCCTGGGATCGTTTCTTCCCTCAAATCCAAATGAGGGTGAGTGAGTACACAGCTGGAGCAATCAGGGGACTTGCTGGGAGGGGTGGAAAGGGGAGGTCATTGCAGTTGCAGGTGAAGACAGAGGCCCAGCTGTGATAGGCTCAGCTCTTAAGGGGAAGTGAGGCAGTAGGCCAGGTCTTTCTCCATATTTTTGTTAAGAATCAGCTTCCCACAGCCTGTCTTGTCCAGGGCCTCCAGGACCCTCACAGCAGCCCAGCTGGTGGGACAGAGATTATTAGCAGTTTAATAGACAAGGAGTCTGTGAATCAGGGCTGTCCCAAGGTCACACAGTGAAGAATGGGGGCAACCTCTCTCCCCTCCTAGCTTCACTTTCTGCTATGGGTCGGATCCTCCTGTGGGAAGCCCAGGCTTCTGTGGCACTAGGCTGCCTCCTGCATGCGTGCACTGGGGAGGAGCTTTGGGAATTGGAAATCACTCTTCCAGCCTTTCCAGCCAAACCAGTCCACTGGGCATAATGACATCTCTTCTGACAGTCCCTTCTGCCAGGCAGTGCTGACTCAGCTCCATAGGGCCCTTTGAAAATGGTTCCTCCCTCTTGCCCTCATCTCTATGGTGACTGGTGTGTTCTCCCTCAGAACCGGCATGAGATGCTGACCCTGGAGCCCCTGCACACGCTGCTGCATATGAAGTGGAAGAAGTTTGCCAAGTACATGTTCTTCCTGTCCTTCTGCTTTTATTTCTTCTACAACATCACCCTGACTCTTGTCTCATACTACCGCCCCAGGGAGGAGGAGGTACGTGGGCCCCTTGGAGGGGAGAGGGTGGCCGGAGCTGGAGGAACTTGGAGCCCACTCCTGTGTAGATGGGGAAACTGAGGCCTAGACAGGATAAGAGATTTGTGTGGGGTCCCCTAATTGTCCTTCACGGTTTCTAGAGAGCTGAAAATGTGTGTCTTAGGTACTTTGTCAGGCTAAGCCCCAGGTGCTGAGCTTGAGGTGCTGGGGGAAGAGTCAGAGAATTGGGAGACCCAGACCCTGCCAGGATCTCCGATTGAACCTAGAACTAGTTAGGTGTTTCTGCTATGAGGGCACAGAAAGTGGGAGGAACACAAGCTCTCCCACCATGGTGAGCCTTGGTTTCCCATCATCCTGTGGGGCATCAGGCCTTGGTCTTATTTAACCATGTTAAGGCCCTACGGAGTCTCTGGATATGGGTGGGTTCTGGGAAGGACGAATGCAGCAGGGTGTGAGGGGTTGTTAGCACAGGCAGGACTTTACTGCTAGCTGTGGAATTCTGGGTTCTCACCAAGGGTGGGGAAGGCAGGGGGCAGGGAGCTGCCATTCCTTCCCTTGCCCTGCACAGAGCAGGGATTGTGTTTCATGCGAGTGCACTAGTGGGTTGGCATGTACACCAGGCAGCATCCCTGCCCTCCTCACCCCTTCCTGACCATCCCATTCCCTTCTTGCCCAGGCCCTCCCACACCCCTTGGCCCTGACACACAAGATGGGGTGGCTGCAGCTCTTAGGGAGGATGTTCGTGCTCATCTGGGCCATGTGCATCTCTGTAAAAGAGGTGAGTGGTCCCTTAGCCCTTCCAGACTGCTCTGCATGGTGGGCAGGCACGAGGGGCCTGGCTCCCATTCCTCCCTGCTCTGCTATTACTGCTGGGAGGCTTTGGGGAGGCATTTCCTTTCTAAGCCTTAGATTTCCAACATGCGAAATGAAAAAGGCAGGTCTATCCTACCTACTTTATCTGTTTATCCTTCTATCCACCCGTCCAACTAGCCACCATTTATTAACCCTCCCAGCTTGCTCAATGCCACTCTTCTTCCCCTCCCCCATCCTCCTCCCATCCAATTACCTAGCTTCTCTCATTGATCCAGCCACTCATTCACCATCCAAATACCCACTCATCTGTACCCATCATCCTTCCGTCCTTTATCCAACCCTCTCTCCTTACATCTGCTCAACCATCGATTCATCCATACATTCAGTGAATCAGGAGGTATTCTCTGATTACCTTCTATATGTGGAAACCTGGGGAAGGTGATAAGGATGGAGAGAGTTTGCCCTCTTTGAGCCCACAGCCTGGTAGGGATTGAACATGGGCACAACATCTTGACTTTAGGATTGACTTTGAAAATGGCCCTAGGTTAGGTTCAGACCAATGGCTAGGGGAAGGGAGATGACTTTATCTGGGAATGGGGTTGGAGGGGGCAGGGAAGGCTTGAAGGCAGACATGGCACTTATTCTGGTAGGATAGGGTTGGACATAAGGACACTGGGGACAAGCATGGGGAACACTATGAGCAAAGGCTCAGAGGCTGGAAGGCTGGGCCATAGTGGGGAGTAGCAGGTAGCTATTACATGCATGCTGCTTTGCACATTCTGGGTTGAGAATGGCGTGGTGGTGCCTATGTCTCCCAGGTACAGGTCGCCTTCCATATCCCTCACTCAGCTCTGGCTGGGCCTTCACACACTCACCCCTCAGTCCTGTGGAAGCACCCCCTCCTCAAATTCTCCAGGGAAAGGCAGAAGGAGGGTGCAGTTTATCTTTCCTTTTTGGCCTTAGGGCATTGCAATCTTCCTGCTGAGACCCTCAGATCTACAGTCCATCCTCTCAGATGCCTGGTTCCATTTTGTCTTGTAAGTAAGTCACTTTCTATCCTTTTGGTCACCACCTCACAGGCAGGGCTGAGTCCTATCTGTAGCTGTGGTGTTGCTCTGGAATAGCCACCCTTCTATGTCACTCTGTCCCAGACATTTTGCCTTAGTCACCTCACCAGGAATCTCCTTTCTCGAAACAGACACACAAGTCGGAAACCCTCAGGACAATGCCTATCATCTGGTGACAGTGATGGCTGACATCACTGGTCACAGAGCCCTGGGTGTCAGGCAGCCCAGAGAAGGCATGAAAAGGCTTAGTCACTCTGTGTACTTTTTTTGCAGAAGGTTGTCCAGGGCAGTCCCTCTTAGTTCTTATGTGGGGCCTAGGAGTTGCCACCTTGGACCTTGGCAGATCAGGCCTGGAAGGTGCCTGAGAAATTACTAAGTCTCCTCTATAGACACCCTGGAAGCTCCCAGAGCAGGGAAGGGAGTCATTCAGAGTCGTATGGAGGAGCTTTAGTAGAGTTGAAGTTCTAGCCTTCCAGGAATCATCACCACAAGCCAGTGTGAGGTTGGTGACCAGTCAGAAAGCCCAGATCAGCAGCCTGTCTGAATGAGCTCATGTGTGGCTGATATCAAAGGCTTACGCAACCTCTGTCTCTAGATGAACAGAGGTTGATTTTAGTGAGTTAACATTGCTGCCATGGGAATGGAACAGAATCTGGGATGAAGAATGTTGGGCTTCACAGCTCTGCAGACCCACTGACGTCTCTCTTCTGAGCATTTGGGAAGCTGGGCCCATAGGACCTTGAGTCTTGGCCTGATGTTTCTAAATACTTAGGTGTTTTATCAAGTATATATCTGCCTTCCAGAGACATGAACTACGTTCTTTATCCCCATGGGCAGGTGGGGCACCTGGATACTGCAGGAAATGGATAGTCAGGTGCAACACTGCCTGATGACACAAGCCACATGCAAGTCTGTCATCATCAAGGAAGAATTATGAGGCCAGGGGAAACTCTGTTTGTACAGACACTTCTCTTAGCACAGACCAAAAGCACCAATACCTGGTCCTGATCTTCTGCTGCTTATTTATTTTGCAAGTTTAGAGGAAGGTGCAGACATCCTTCCTCATTTCAATCTTAAGCACAGTTGATCAATCAGATTTTTTGTTCTTAACTGCACCAGAAAAACAAACTTACCTGTGTCTTGACCATGGTTAAATACTTTATAAATGTGGCAACCTCCTGATGTGATATAAGCAATGGCTTTAAAATCAGAAGTCTACATAATTCATGGTGTTTGCATTGTTTAGGAGTAGATTTTGATCTCACATGTTTGATATATCCTGTGCTTTAAAAATTTTCAATTGTGGTAAAATACATGTAACATAAAAGTTACCATCTTAACCATTTTTAAGTGTATTGCTCAGTACGGCTAAGTATACTCTATATACCTTTAGAACTCGTTTCATCTTGTAAAGCTGAAAGTCTGTACTTATTAAACAACTGCTATTCCCTTTCCCCCTCCTTGGTAAGCACCATTTTTCTTTCTGTCTCTATAGATTTGACTATTCTAGGTATCTCATATAAGTATAATCATATAGTATTTGTCTTTTTAGGGGTGGCTTTTATTTCACTTAACATACATCACACTTTTTTAAAAAAAGGTAAAAATAGTAGACTTGAGAGAACTTCTGTTATGATTGGCATAGAAGTATAGATGTTGGCAGCTTTTATCATTTTGGTTAAAAATGCAATCATTCCTTACATCCTTGGCCGACCCCTGTGGTTCTCGAATCTATATGGGAATCAGAAATCAAGTGAGTGACTTGAAAAATATATGGCCTCCTGGGTTGTAATCCAGAATCTTCTGGGGCCCTGTGGAACTGACTGTTTGTCCTTGTCAGCTACACCCAGCCCTGACTGGCCCTGACTGGCACCTGTTGGTGTAGTCTACAAGGCTGGATGTTCACTGTGGTTGAGTGGATCTGAGGCAGCTATCACTGTCTCTTCAGTGTCAGCCCTCTGGGTGACCATTCAGGGGGCTTATGGGAGGTTTGGAGGATTTGAATATTTCTGCCCTGATGTGGAGGAGAAGTAAGTAAGGTCCTTGTCTCCTGTGTCTCCTGAACAGTTTTATCCAGGCTGTGCTTGTGATACTGTCTGTCTTCTTATACTTGTTTGCCTACAAAGAGTACCTTGCCTGCCTCGTGCTGGCCATGGCCCTGGGCTGGGCGAACATGCTCTACTACACGCGGGGGTTCCAGTCCATGGGCATGTACAGCGTCATGATCCAGAAGGTGCGTTGGGGGTTGGCAGAGTTGCAGAGCATGTCCATTTTTCAGATGGGGAAACTGAGGTCTGGAGAGGAAGAGGGGCTTACCAAGGGGCAAGTCACTGCTTTTTCTCCCAAATGCTATGATCTCCTTTGCGTTTGGTTGGGCTTTAAATGTTCAGAGAGCTTGAAACGCCCAGGTTTGTCAGGCACTGGGGAAGGATATGTTTTGTGAAGGAACATTCTCCACCCCTGGGCAGTGGTGTGCTGGTGAATCTTTAACAACCGCTCTCTGGGGGGTGTGTGTGTGTAGTATATATGTACATTAGTACAAACATATATACATATCTTTATTATACATTTTACTATATAAAGGATGGATAGCACATAATTTATAAATAATAATAAAATATATAATATACTTCATTGCATATTCCACATAGCTAATTAGATCTCAGAATAATTTGTTTTTTATAGATCTCTTAAATCAAATCTCTTGCCAGCCTATGCTCTCAGATGACAAATGAGTGCTGTTCAAACATGATGTTGGGTGCTATTTTTCTTTTCTTTTTTTTTTTTTTTTTT